GAACAATCTTATAGAGGTATCTATTTACATTTAAGATTGGCTGGAGTGAACTCACTCCCTTAACTCACATTGGAAAATAATTAAAAATGAATTGTTTCACCCCCAAAGAATAATGCTTTCTGTGACCACAAATCTCTGAAAGGTCAAAGGGAAAAGTTCATGTCATGCAGGCTCTTCCTCCTTCCCATTTAGGGCCTCAAGATACAATGGGAGGAAGCAACCGGGTGGGCGAGGAAGTATGGCAGACGGTGTTTCTAATGAAACAGTTTTCTGGAGAGCGCAGTCTACAGTTGAGTCTGGCGTCCCTCGAGCTAACAGTAAGACTCAAAGATCATACTTGTAGGACTCTAGAACTATGAGCTGAAAGGGACCTCAGAGCTTGCTTATCAGGTCAATATCACAGATGACGCAAAAATACAGAGGTGAAGCAACTTGTCAAAAGAAAAGCCACAAGAAGGATCCAAGTTTCCTGATTTCAAGTTGCTTCCACGTTCCACCAGTTTCTCTCTGGAAGTTCCAGTCCCACATCTGGTAGAGACAGTAATGAGAACACCACTAGAAGGGATGCTATATTGCTACAGGTTTTGATAAGGGGCTTCTTTTAGGAAAGGAGGAGTTAAAGGATTCACAGGGATAATTCTCTCAGCAATATCATCACTATATAACTTCACATATTTAATGTTGATTTGAATCTTATTCTCAGAGAATCTGCATTGGCCAAAAAGTTTAAAAACTTTTTATAAAAAGGAAGACTTAAGAACCTTTTGAATTAAAAAGACCGTATATTTGTGGATTAGTAAAGCATGTAAAGTAAAAATCGTTACTAGATATTTTACAGCTGATATATAAGACATGGCTATTAGTCATTAAAGTGCATTTTTTAATTCAGTGGTATCTTTTTTTCTTTTTAAAGATTTTATTTTTTTCCTTTTTCTCCCCAAAGCCCCTCGGCACATAGTTGTATATTCTTCATTGTGGGTCCTTCTAGTTGTGGCATGTGGGATGCTGCCTCAGCGTGGTTTGATGAGCAGTGCCACATCCGTGCCCAGGATTCGAACCAACAAAACCCTGGGCTGTCTGCAGCGGAGCGCGTGAACTTAACCACTCGGCCACGGGACCAGCCCCAATTCAGTGGTATCTTAACTTCTCCTACCTGATTTATTCATTCAACAAACATGTTTAAAGCAACTAACATAGGCATTTTGGGAACGCATATACACATTATTCAGGAGTGAAAGACATAAAGACTAATTAAGGATGTCAGTGCACATATCTATAATGTAAGGAAAGGACATGTGTGATAGAGAGAAGAGGGAAGAAGGGCTAAGAAGACAGACAGCAAGGAGGAGCTGGACGTGGGAGAGTAAGTATGATTTTGAGAGTGGAGTGGGATGGGGGAGGTGGTATAGAAATGAAAGGACATTACTGTACATGGCATGCAGGAGTGAATGTCGGGGGAAATGTGTGTAACCAGGTAAGGGGGAGCTGACCACATTGCCTGGCATCCAACGTTTATCTGGATGACAGGAGGATGAGTTGGAAGGACAAGCAGATTGGGGCCAGAGTATGGAAGATTCTGAACATCAACTTCAGGGTTTGAAATTGCTTAGGTGGGCAAGAGAGAGGCACTGATGATTTCTGGGCAAGGAATGACAAAATTCAGGAAGTATGAACAGGAGAAAGGAGAAACTAAAGGCAGTAACAGGAATTAGGAAATGATCACAATAGTCTAGCTCATGAACTATTTCTAGAACTGGGATGATGGCAGTGGGACTGGAAAGGAAAGAATGGATGTGATAGCTAAGTGATCTTTAAGTATGTCTGATTGACAGAGAAGTGGAATAATCTCCCTCCATTACTTAGAGCCATACTAAACCTAGTGAGCACTGCCCGTTGTCATTTGAGAACACACAGTACTTAAGGAGGTATAATTTAACGCTCACCGAGCTAAGGAAGGGGGTCTTTAGGCCTTGAGTAACTCTATATCCTTTTCAAAAGCGTATCTTTCCATCAGAAGAGAGAAAAAGTGACAACTGTGTCTGAACCTATCCTCACCAGGAACTACCTACTGTGAAAACTGCTCACACAAGAGGAGAAAAAAAGGTCAAATTAGAAAGTTATCACTTATAACATTTCATACTGCATTCACGTGGAACGATTTATGCTTTGCCCAGCCCTTTCCTACTTATTTTCTCATTTTCCCTAAAGCAGCCCTTGAGGTATTAAGGGTGGGAATTACCGGCCCCATTTTATAAAAGAGAGGTTTAATAACTGCCCGTGGACACACAAGAGTTACCAGGACCAGAGCCTCCCAACTCTTACCACTACACCTTGCAACGCCATCGCTACGTGGTCTTAGTTAAAGGCAAGTGGTCCGAACTTTATGGGATTTAAAATAGACACTAGTTGGACATGATATGGGTGCTGTGAAAACCCAGCCAGGGGAAGTGGATGAAGGCTGCCCAGAAAATGTCCTCCACTGAATGAAACACAATCCAGAGCCCAGCTGGGAATTCCACTGCTGCCTTGGGTTTAGAAATTGTTTATTTTTATTTCTTGGCTCGAACCTTTCATTCCTGTCCTTGCCACTTCTTGTCTCCCTCCTTTTCTCTCTCTTTCTTCTCCTAGCAGCCAGAGCCCCAGGCTGCACATACACACGTCTCAGTGTCTAAGACCACTCTCTAAAAATACATCTCACTCTGACAAGCTGAGTCTCCTGCAGGTGGCACAATTTAAAATTGATACCAAAGGAATAGATCATATCATGATCAGCCTTTGATTCATTTACCCTGCATATTAAAGACCCAGAAATAAAATAAACACAGTTCACAGGGAAAAAATTCATGCAAAATGAGAGACTCTTTCAAGTGACATTTTGAAGCCCAGTTTTTGTGGTGGGCTCATGTAATCAGATATAATTGTCTGCACATGTTTGGTTACACTATTTCAGAAATGATTCCCAGCCCATCAGATGATGTCAGAGGAGTCGATGTCGACCTCCCAGAGTCCGAGGGCTGCTCTCTTCTGTGCTTCCCAATTAGGAAAGAAAGATGTCAAAGAGCAGAACTGCCAGCCTCACTTCCTGCCTGGTCACGTAGACTTTCTTCAGTTCTCCTTTTGCACGTGTGCATATTCTCGTTCCCACACTCTTGTACTTTCCTCGTGTTCCTTTCTTCCGCTTATACACAGAGCAAAGCTTTCTCTGGAAAAATCTATCTTAGATCTCAAAAAGATTCAGGAAATGCATAAATGTATATGTGCTTGAACCCACACACACCAACACAGAGCAACTTCATTCATTTGGAATCCATTTCTGAAAACAAACTTCTCTACCATGGTATGCTGTATTTCTCTAAGGAAGCTGCTGGCAAGTCATCCACTAATATGGAAATAATAATTAGTATTAATAGCATAAGCACAAGAAGGGAAGAATGGCTCTGCTCTGGAAATTCTTTCTAGAAAAGTGACACGATTGCCCAGAGTATGTTTAATAAGGATAGCTTTGACCGCCCTGCTCCCCACCAGAGAGGGACTTGATAAAATACCATATAAACTCAGAGGGGATTCTGCTCAAAGAAGGTAGAAAATAAACAATTCCTAATTGGAAGGGGCCTTAAAAGTCACCAAGCAACCTGGTGCTCAACTCCTTTCCACAATATCCTTACCTAGTAGCTAGCCAAACCATGTCTGAATGCTCCAATGATGGCTAATTCTTGACTTCCAGAGGCAGCCAATCCCTTCTTTGGACAACTGTGAGAAAGGCCCATAAAATGTTGAAGGGAAATGTGTTTCTCTGAATCTTCTCCTCACTGATCCTATCCTACTCCCTTTAGATACATCATTTATGATGACTCTAATCCCTCTCACAGAGGACAGCATGTCTAAAACTATTATGTACCATCAACTCTTCCCTTTTATGGGCTAAGAATTCCTAATTCCTTCATCCATTCTTCATCTGATGAAACAGTTGGTATTCTACTGATTTCTTCTAGTCTGACTATTGTCTTGTAGGATTTGACCAGTGCAGAGGTAAGGGAGCCATCACCTCCTTCCTTGCTGACACTATACCTCAATTAGTATCAACTAGGATTACATTAATGCATCATGCCTACCTTTCCTTCTTTCCATCCCCAATTTATTTTAATCATAACAACAGAAACAAACAACAAAAAATCATCACCATCAACCAAGCATAGTTTTCTTTAATCGCTCTGAGCCAAGAGTTCTACTGGAGCCTCTTGTGACCTCTAAAAGCCCAGAAAATCACCCCTGATCTAAAGAACAGCCTCCTTTTCCAGGCTGTCCTCTTGTCCCAGCTTGCTGTCACCGCTGCTGAGATAGCGGACGATTGATCTGAGAAATCAAGTTGGATTGCTGTCCCAAATCTACACTCGGTTCTCCTTGTGTCTGTCTGATCGATTTCACTCTATGCGACACAGCTTGTCGCTATGAATTTTCATGCTAGTCAGAAGCCGCCAGCGCACCCAAGAACAAGTAGAAGATGGTCTGCACCCCTCCCCATCCCTTCAACATACCCAGTCTCTGTGTTAATTTCTTTTGCTTTTTAATCATCCTTACACAGATCGAAGAAAGGTGTTTTTTTTTTTTTGATCACAGACCTGGATGTAATGGATTTTTGGCTACTGGTTTTCCTCTCCAAGTTCCCAGGTCCCAGCTTGTGGTGACATTTCCTACCACTGTTGTACTAGGTGTCACCTGTTTAGCAGCTCCTCTCAGCTGAACGCATGTGGCCGCAGGTGCCATGCAAACACTGATTGTGTCTGACAGCCCTAGACGCCAGCTGCCTGCATGAAGCCTGCCCAATCGCCACTTTTTTGTGGGTAGATGCTGCCGATGGCATGACCGATACAGAAACAAGAAACTAGGTGACCGTAAAGCTAAGATAAGTCCTACTAAGTGGCATTCTGAGCCCTGTGGCTTTGAAATAATTGGTAGTGATAGAATAAAAACAAAGGGTGGGGGGAGCGTTGTTTTCTTACACTGATGCCCTGCGGACTGTACATCTGACTGGCTGCGAGTCCGTCACTGTATCCTCCTGTCTGGCTGATAACATGGCGAAGGGTATCCACCTAAACAGATGAACAACAAGAGAGGACATTAGTCAGGGAGATGCATGGAAAGGAAGGCGGATCATCATCACAGAGGCTACCATTTGGGCATGCCAAATTAATGCAATCATTTTGGAGATATTCTTCCTGGTAAAGGGTCCATCAGGAGGAGGCTGGGCCTCCTCTATATGCCAAATCCATTATCCTTTCTGAGTTTAGTAAGCAAGACAGCAAAATGGTAAAAGAAAGCTGGGACTCCCAACACTGAAACTAATTCAATAATGCTGCATGAAATGGCAGGGACTGGGGTGCTGGAGGGGGTTAAGAGGACAGAGTGAAGGAATGCTCCCTTCCTTACAGACCATCCTATATAGCTTCTCCTTTGCTGGAATCCTGTAAAAGTCCAGGTTTTGTTTAGAGGGGCTAGGGCAGCCACCTCACAGAGAGAGCATTATGTGACTAACACTCTATCTTTTAGAGGACTTAAATGATGACCAGTTGTTTAGTCACTTGACCAAAGTCTGACCATATCTCCTCAAACTTGTTTCCAGGCAATGTTTGTTTAGCAAGGGGCTGAATCACTGACCAGCTGGTCCATTCCAGGCATGTAGTACTTCCTGTTCCACATGCATGGTGGGAAACCAGATGGACATGGCTTAGAACTTCCCTAGTAATTCTGACCCGGAGCATCCTTTATCCTGCCACATCAGTCTCCATGCTGATGGTAGGATGGCTTCCTTCAGGAGTGAAGTGAAGTGTAGTGAAGGCGAGCTGCTTACTAAGGAGCACTGAGGATTTACACCACACGACTTGATTTTTGCTTCCCAATATGGTCTTAGACTCATCACCAGAAACCCAATCCCTTGACCTCAAGGATGACTGAGAAGATGAGTTTAGTCAACTTGGTTGGGTGTTTTTAAAGATTAAAATGAAAACGTGAGATACTAAGGTATTTGCCTACTCATCAATTACCTCCATATTGGGCAAATAGCGAGTGTGGGAAACCAACGAACAAGAGGGATGCGTGGAAAGTGAGACAGTGGACGGAACTCCTTCTCCCTTTCCCTTTAGTGAACCAAGAATATGCTGGTTCTACTTGCCTGATAGGCCTCGGTCACCTCACCCTGTGCTTACTACTCCCCTCCTGCCTTCCTAGTGCGACTGACAAGCCAAAGCCAAATGCATTCACAAAGTGTGGACGAGATTCCCCACGATAATGGTTGTCTTTGTTTTAGTTTGGTTGTTGGTAAGGTTTTGTTTCTACATTCTCTCTCTCTGGACAGAAGCAGGAAGTGCCAATACAACTGAGGGCTCTTAGACTCTAATGCATTCACCTGGTGGCACATTGGCTGGGTCCCTACCTGTGATTGCACGTTGGCTCCAACCTGGGCCCCTTGGTAAGAATCCCCATTGAGTGACTGCACGCTCATGAACAAATCTCCAGAGTTTGACATGTTAAAAGAACTGGAAGAACCTGGAAAGGAAAGAGTGAGGCACCTGAATCACAGAAAGGAAAAGGCTCAACCCCCGCAACTAACGGCCAAGAGGAAGGATGACATGCAAAGCAACTCCCCCAAATAAAAACTAAAATAAAAATAACATCCACAGAGTCTGGTTAGTAGCATGAAGAACAGAGCAAGCAATAAAGGGTGCATATCATTCATGTTATGTGAAGCCACATCTGACTGCAAGTTGCCAAGAGGACTGCTTCCCCTTAGCAACTTCAAGCTGAGAAAGGGAACAGCTATTCTTCTCAACTTAGTCTGTTTGAATTGGAGACAGCCTCCCGACCTAGGATCTCTCCTTGATGCCTCTAAGATTCTAGGGTTGGCCAGGGGACCACAAGCTGGTTAGCTGGAGAATACGGGCTGGTCAAGAATACTTCTGCCACCACGATGGAGCACATGAGCTATTCAGCTGGATTCTAAATAAGCTATTGCCAAACTCATCTACTCTCACATCAGGGGTAGCCCCCGGGTGGGGAGTGCATGAAGGCAATGCCACACATTAGGGCCAGCCCTGTGATATGAGTCCACTGACATTCCTGATTTCTAGAAAGAAGGTTAAGTTCCTTGCTGGGTGGCAAACAGCCCAAGGGAGCCTTGAGGACTTCAAGAATATGTGAGAATGATATACTCTTCTCTGCCACCGGCCATCAGGGAGGAAGATGAAACAGAATCATGGGCCAGGAATTCTCAAGCATGCATGAAATATGAAATGCTGATAATGATGATAATAATAATAATAATAATAATAATAATAACAACAAAAGTGGGCCTCAAGAAGAGCAGTTAACCGTCTGCTCTCACCTCCCAGAGATGGAATCTTCTCCCAGAGTTAGCCTTTAGGCACCACCCAGCTTCCACTGGCTCCATTGTGGTAAATCTAACCCACCCTCAACTAAACGCAAGGGTGTGGAAAAGCTTAATATTATTCTGAAGTCATCGTGCAGCTCAGCGCATTAGGAAAGAAAGCTCAACGTGCAAGGTTTGGTTAAAACATGACGTTAGCCTGGAAAAGGAGAGACCTTAGGGACCCAGGTCAGTTCCACTCTACTATTTCCAACCCTATACTGCTTAAATTGCACTCTTGCCCTCATATTCTGAGACAGCCATCATCTGTGTGGAATCGCCCAACAATGATTCATGGCTCAGCTCTGACACTTCCTTTTCTCCTAAGATGGGGATCTGTGCTCTCCTAGAGAGCTTCCTACTCCTCATGGAGAGCTGCACCTAAGCAGAAGACAAGGCTCTTTTTTCCGCATAGAAGGACCACTTAACTGGCAATGAATTCCATACTCTGTCACTCTGCTCTATGCTTAACTATTCAGAGCATTCTCATACTTCAAAGGCAAGAGCCATTTAGAGGAACCAAATGATTTACTGGAGGACAATTTACTTGAGGACAACCTCAAGTTAAGACACATCTCCATTTTTCTTTCTTCATTGGGAAGTTCATCCATATGCAAGCAAGGAGCTAACTGTTTTGCTATGTAAACGGATCCTCCACTCTCACTCCCTTCTTGTGGGAAAGAGGGGATGCTCTCTTTGGGGGTGTGGATGACTTAAGCACCATCCAAAGAACTATGACATCTCCATAGCTCTGCAACATGTCCTGTCTCATCGGGCACACATTTCTCTGTTTAGGAATTAGAAAAGTGGGTCTTAGGTAAAATAGGCACAGAATTTGACCAGGTGTGGCTTATACCCAGTCAGTGGGGCAGATGATTTGGCCTGGAACTTCCTTCCATTAATGTGGTACAGATCTTCCAAAGAGTACCCCCCAACATGTGGGTGAAGCAGCGGGCAGCACAGATCACATTCTCATGTTAGATATATAATACTCAGGCCTCTAGGTCCTAGTTACATCCTTCTCAAATCTTTCTTTCAATCACAGCAACGCAACCTAAATATTAAAAGCTATTTTGTAATAATTGTTACAACACAAGCTCACATTTAGATGTCATCAGAACCAAGAATAGTCAGCTCCAAGAACCCAAATTATAATTTTTTATGATATCAGGATTTTTTTCCCCCAAGAGTGTTCAGTTTGAAGCCCAGGTATTCTCTTTCTCTCCCAATCAAATGACATGTAATAAACACACATTCTCTATGCTTGGCTGATGGTTTATTGGAAATCAGCACACAAACTGAGAAATGGGAGAAACCCCCAAAGGCCCACAGTGATGCCAAGTAACATAGCATCCATGGAACCATGAAGGCACGGAATGTGCCATTTACAAGATATACACTGCAATTGACACAGATGATTTAAAATATATATGTGCATAGATAAATTGTAAATATGTCTGGCTGCCTAATGTACATAGAGATAAATATGCGCATATCAATATACTTCATGTACAAATGCATTTGAATCAGGACAATAATTGCAGGAATAGTCCCTGTGCTCTTAGCTGGGCTGTTTCAGCATTTTATCGTCTTTGTACACCCATGTCCAACACTACCATGGCTTCTGACTCTCTGATAAGTATCTAGAGGCAGTGATTGTGCTGAGGGAAGAGATCAGGTGCCACTAATACCACAATAAAGCAGACAGAAGTCCACATGAAAATCTAAATAACGAGGGGAAGATATGTTCTTCATCTCGCACTGGAAGTTGGAAAGAGCTTATCAGGGAAAGGATAACCTCATGGGAAGGACGTAATTCATAGACAAATAGTGAATGGGCTCTCTTGGAGGTGCTGTGGAATTCTCAAACAACTAAAACAGAACTACTTGGCTTGCTGAGAAGGTCAGTCAGGACCCTTACCTGCAGGTGGCTGTAAAGTAACCAGCAATTACCTCAAGCATGTTTTAAGACGTGCTTGCCAGTTAAAAGGTTTTGAATTTGGCTTGGGAAGAGAGGCAAGTGGCTCATGTAAGCTGCTATCCAGACATTCGGGGGATGTAAACAGCTAAGTCTGCACTCAACTAGACAGAGAAGCAATAATGGATCACCTATGGATTCTAATGCACTTGCTCAGGCCAACATGACGATGCGGAGATGTGTTAACATTCATTTTCATAGGACAATTTTCTGAAGTCTGCATTCTACTCTAAAGATCTTCAGGAGACTTAAATTTGTGCAGGAAAAAGAAATGTTACCTGCATAATCTAAAAAATGGAATACTAATGATAAAATCTAAACCTAGAGCAGAGTTTCTTGACCTTAGCACTACTGACATTTTGGGCCAAATATTTCTTTTTTGTGGGGGAATGTCTTACATATTGTAGGATGGTCAGCCTTGGCCTCTATCCACTTGATGCCAGTAGCACCCATCCCCAAAAGTGCGACAACCAAAAAGTCTCCAGATATTAACAAATGTCCCCTGGGGTGCAAGTTCACCCCAGTTGAGAACCAATGACCTAGAACAAGAGTAGATTTACTGTTTCTTCTTAAGGAACTCAAAGTGTTTAAAAGGATTAGCTCCTTATTTCTCACAGCATTTTTATGAAGCAGATGTATGCAAGTATTGCCCTAATTTTTGCAGTTTAGAAATCAAGGCTTCAGATTGATTATGTGGCCAGCCTGATCAGATTAGACTCCCACACCTTTTGGAGGCTCAAAAGATAGAGACTCTTTGCTAGATATAAGCTTAATTATGACTCAAGCTTGCCTCTCTATTTTCCATGATTCTTTCTCTTTCAAACTCCAAAAATTATTGTTACTCTCTAATCAGGGCAAAGTAAAAGAGGGAAAGATTGTCTGATTCGATGTGAAATCCCTTTAGTAAGTGTGCATGTCAAGGTTCTAGAGTTCCAATTCCAGGAGGCTGTGCTTTCATTTTCCACTTAGAAATTAAGGAGAGAAACATAGGAAGAATGAACACAGAAGATAACATCAATGGGATAAAAGCTTTCACTTGGTTTTAAAAAACAAAATTATAAGGATTCCTGCGGATTTACCAGAAGCGTCAGTTGACTTCTCTGGATGTGTTACCTCCTGTGTGTGTGTACTATACAGAAACTTAGCTTCAAAGCTGGTGTCTAGGGGTTTTAATATGATAATCTTCCATCAATCCAGAAAAACACCAAACTTTCTATTAGGGGTGGAATACGAATATGCACAAGGGCTTGCCACTAACTAAATAGTGCCAGAGGAAGAACTTTCATGGCTGAATTTGCTATTCTCCTTGACAGACACACACGGCTAAGCAAAAGAATTAAATCTGAGGGTTTCTGGGCCTCAATAAGCCTGGGACTGCTTAATTAATCAGAGAAGCTGATAAAATACCAATGATGCTATGTCACAGCAAACATCTGTAATGCACAAGCCAATTTCTTTCTTCTTGGATGTTAAAAGTGTTCTCTAGAAGATAATCCAACCTTCCCAAAGGGGCCCCATTTTTCTGAGATCTTAATTCTTGCTTTTACAATCTCATCAAAATTAGGAAATTGAGAATGTGCCACTCTAGGTGATTCCAGAAGAATGATAAACCCAGGATTATAACTAGTGCTTCAATTGGTGCTCATTTTTGCTTTCGTTTTTTCCAAACTTAATTTTCTGGTCTTCCTTCTATTCTTCCTCTTTGCTCCATCCATTTTGTCAGCTCCGCTGGTGTAAAATACAAAGCATGCCAAATATCTCTGAATGCTTGCTCAGCCCCCACAGTTCCTAGTCCTAAGTGATTTTTATGAGTTATGCTTAAGGAAATAGGAGAAAAGGAATAGATCAACAAATAGGAATATTTTAAAGTGGCCTAGATAAAGATACTGAAGTGCGGCTCTCCACACTAAAGCCTCTAGCAGGAGGAAGAATGACTTGCAAAGCATCTTCCTTGTAGTAGAAATGAGTATTCCTACTTAGTAAAGCTTCTAGAAAAAACTCCTTCAATAGCGAGGATATAAAAAGTTCCCAGGTTCCAGAACTCTAGACTTCAAACTCAGTCAAAATATATTTTCACATATGAACCTCTTATTTAAAACTTGCTATCTATTTCAATTATCATTTATCCTTTGAAATTATGGAAGAGCTAGTATAAAACATTATAAACACCCTATGGGAAAAGTTTGAACATTTCCAAGTTCTCACTTTATTTGTGTAATGATTTGGGTTGTGTGAAAAGCAGAGGAAAATACAGAAAAGCTCATTTATAACTTTTCCTGTTAAAATGTTTATCTTTTAAAATTCCATGCTATTGCACATATACAATAGAATTTTCTTTTGTCTCTACTTTAAAAAAAGCACATCAAAGCGGTTCCTCTGCATATTACTTCCAACAACTTACACACCACTCGAAGGCTTAGCTCGAATTTTCCATAATAATTTACTTTGTGCTCAGAATAGTCACATGTAGCTTAAGGCACCAGAAAAATTCTTTAGAAACTGTAATCATAAACTGACATTCCAAGAGAGCCAACATCATTCTTAAACACAGAGTAGGGGGTTAAAAACGCTTCCTTTTCTCTTTTTAAGTGCTTTAGGAAAGAATAAAAAGTTACAGATTTAGTAATGAAGGGAGTCCACGGGCCCTTCTAAGGACTAGTCATAAATCACGCTAAGCCATCTGCGATGCAGATATATCAAGGATAGGAAAAAGTCATTTTGATATCTGTTTTGCATTATGATAACCTTTGCAGGCGTGTTGAGTGTGTTTTTGCTAATGTTGACAGAATTGTACTTCTTCCAAAGAGACAAGTGAAAATGTCTGCCTAGCAGTGCAATTCAACTAGTGTTGCTGGGTCTGAGACGCTTAATAATTGACCAGATGGGGAAGAAGGAAACTCTCTGGTTATTGAACCTGTTAGCCTTGATCCTTTGTCAATCATACTATGATGGGAAAAGAAGGAAACACACCCAAAAAAATCTCTTGAAAAGCAAATATCCTCCTCATAGCAACCCAACCTGGAGTGCTGGGAAAAACAAAACTGGATTGAATTCTACATTGTCTTACCATATCCATGTTTACAAAGCCCAGGCCACTCTTCATGCATGATTCCATTTAAACAAAAGAAGGCTATGACGGTACAGCTCAGTGACTTGGAGAACCTTATGATAACAAATTAGTGCATCTAGAAGCTCACAGAAGACATTAATGCACAGAGCTTTCCACGTCTCCAATAACAAACCACCACAAGGTAAAAAGAGAGCTTATTTTAGTGGACAAAGAAGCTTTGGGGTCAAAGGTACCACACACCCCCAGATGTGTTAGACACTAGATTTTTAATGATATTATGATCTAACATTTAAGTTTATGACCCTTTAAAGTTGGAGTCATCAACTTTTCTCAGAGGTGCACCCCACAGCCAAAATCAATGCATGTGGTTCATTACAGGGAAAATATCATAATCTGAGACCAAACATTCGATAAGGAATTATTTCTGGTTTTCCCTTAAAAAAAAAAAAGGTCCTGACATGCCCTCCATACCATGCAAACAGTAAGGTTATATTTTATCCATTATCAACTATGTTTTTTTAACACGTGTACATTCAGACTGAGGGCACAAGGTATACCCAAAAATATATTGTGTTAGCCTAAACTTTGAAATAAATGATACAGTGTACGTTCACCAAAATAAAACCAGGAGCGGAGCACATGACTAACATTGTAACTTGAAAATTAGACTCTAAATTAATGACTGCCAATTTCCTTTGTAGTTTATATAAAGAAAACCAACAAAATAAAATGGTAAAGAACAACAGCTATAAACAATGTATAGAAATAATCGTGTTCTGGCTTTGCAGACCAGAACATTCTAATGAGATATTTAATAAAAGAGCAAATATTCCTGCACAGAATGCATGCTAGTATGTGATGGAAACAGCAAAACAGACAAGGATAAAAACTTTATACGAAACAGACTAAATGCTAGAACCCCAAGGGACTCTCTCTAAATACGAGGTCTAGCTTATTTACTGACATCTCTGAAAGGAGAATTTACAAGTTTCCTCATCAAAACCAACCAATTTACTTCTGTCCAACTTTAATAGGCACACCAGTGCAAACCTCCAGACAAGCCCATCTTATAAACAGTAAAACACATTGCTCTTTAGAAATGAAAGGAGAAACCCAAAGTGGCATCAACAACAAAAAACACAATCAAATACACAAATCAACCAATCAGAAACCTAAAGAATTAAAGGAAAACCCCAATGTAGAAAAAGCATAAAAATGGAGAATAATCCCCCCAAATCAAAGAAAAAACTAACCAGCTGAGTTGGGAGTTGAGGGTGAGTTAGCTTGGCTTCCATGAGCTGACACATTGGTAGCAGTGACAGCTGTTTTGGCAGCATAAATATTGGCTTCCTCTTGAAATTTACCTATGTTCTTCTTGTACCGGATTCGCTTATTTCCAAACCAGTTTGATACCTAGAGCAGTTTAAGAGAAAATGAGAACGTTAACATTTCCTCCCTCACAAACATCACAGAAGAAAAGGAAGAGCTTATCAGAGAGTTTGAAGAGGTAGGCTAATTGGTCTTCCATTTCTGATTTCGCGACATCAATGAAAAGATTTGAAGGAAGAGCTTTGAAAGGAGCAACTATATAAAATGAAATTCTCCTGCTCAATATAACACAATTTAGCAAAACCACTATGACAAAAATTTTCCTATGGAGGAGCTTACTCATTTAAACTAGGACTTATTTAGTTTAGGGCAAGCATTTCCAATTTGCTTACCTCTTAATTATATGACACTAAAATAAACAGAACATTTCAGGAGAAATGCCTGTCACTTAATGCTAAAGTTGACTTGGGGCAACCAAAATACACAGTCTTTAAATATCCATAAAAATCTGTATCAACATATGCAGGCTTTCATTGATGGGTTAATTTTAAATTTTTATAAGTTAAATAACTAATATGGACTAGATTCTCAGCTGCATTGTCCTACAGACCTTAGGATCAATATAATTCAATCCACTAGCTTTCACTAAGTAATTTGTGCAAAGCAAGGTGTTAGCTACATAAGGAAAAAGTGAAGCACACAACTGATTATTCCTTTGAATTCCAGGCTTTAAATGTTAAAGCCAATATGCAAAATAAACCTAATTTACTTTCATTTGTTAGTTTATTTCTTTCACGTGGCTCACAGCAGCTGTCTTGGCTTGATTCTGTACCCCTGCTCCCTTTATAGCAAGACCTCTGTCAGACACAGTGGAGACACACTAAAATTCCGGCCTTAGGAAGGAAAGTTTTATATCCCATATTCCAGATGTGATTTTAAACTAAAATGTTGTAGTTTTTATATAATTATAAAACTATGAATTTGGTGAGGGAAGGGGAAGTTGATAATTCATGTACCACAGCTTACATGTAGTTTATACCCAACAAAGGCAGATAAAGAAAATTCCTGCAAAACCACACTTATTTTTCAAATGCATTAGTAAAATTAAAAAATCTTATAAGGCTAACTCTCATAGACCTCTGCAGCTTGTACTATAGCAGAAATGCCAAGCCTTTGTTACAAAAATCAAACTATACCATTGCAATATTAGTAAATGAAAGGCAAAAATCAATAAGAAAATGCTTTATTTATTGTAAATTCTGGTGCCTACAGAAGAGAGTTAAACTACGAAGGGGAAAGGCACTTCTGGGTAAATTTAAGGACCACTGCATATCTAATTTCACTCAAAACTCATGTTTTTCTTGATACAACTTTTCATTATTCATATTCTATGAATTCATACTATTCATATGAATCAATAATTATGGTTGCTCTTTGACTTTTAAGTCAAATAGGGAGATGGGAAAGGAGGCAGGGAGATCTTTCTGAGGTAGCTAGATGAGCTGGAAGAAAGACGGAAAAGCTGAAAGTACTTTGGGAGGACTTTTGAGGAAGAAAGGGAATGTTGAGATCTAATTAAATGAGCCGCATGAGAGAAAAAGGAGAAGGAAGAGGGTGGAGGAGGGACATGTTGTGGGAATGATTCCTTTCTAAATGAGAATAGAACTGGTAGGGAAGACGCCAGGTCAGTTCAGGCATTTCCTACATTGTCCACTAGGTGATATCATATGCCCTGGACAATGTATAGAATCAGTATTTTCATGAATTAACTCACTGTTCAACAATCATGGATCAAGGGTCTACTTACTATGTGCCAGGCACTAGGGATACATAGACAAACACAGTCTGCGACAGGTAATACAGAAGGAAACACACATCCTCTGGAGAGAGTTGGATTCACATTTTGAATGTGTTTTTAAAGTTTGAAAAGCCTGTGGGTGGAGCCATCATGAAGTCCACTGGCAAGTAAGATACCTGAGTTTGATGTCCAGGAGAGAAGTCTCATCTGGATATTCAAAGAGAGGTATATTTGCAGATGTGCGTAAAACAGTGCTTTTCAAAGTGAAGTGTGAGTGGAGAGGTTGTTAAAACTCCCTAGGCTCCTTCTTCCGCACCCCCTTCAGAGATTCTGATTCCAGACTGGGGTGAGACCCAAGAATTTACACTTCTAACAAGCTCCCAGGTGCTGCTGATGCTGCCTTGTGCGGGTCACATTCTAAGGAGAGCTAGTACAGAGGAAGGGCTGTTCAGGGATCAAAGGAGAGGGTGGTCAATAGACGGATTTCAGATGGATTTTGGCATATGAGCATATTTTTGTTTTGGATCATGGAAGCAATAAATAGTAAGCAGATTTCAAAAGAATCTGTGACAAAAAAAAACGGTTCAAAACCATGTGGTGGGCATGAAGCAATGAGGGCTAAAGAGAGAACAATATTTTTAGGGTAGGCAGTAAAGAACAATATTTTTAAAGACACTAGATCCTCCAAGAAGACTGAGCGGGAGTAGTCCAAGAGGAAGGAGGAAACTCCACTGAAAACAGTGTCAAGGAAGCCAAGGTAGGAGAATTTCAAGATGGAGGCGTGACTATTAACCAAAAAAAAAAGGACAAGAAAGGCACAGTTCAAAAGGCATTCTCTAGATTTGGGAACTAAAGGGAGATTTAATAAATCAGGTGATCCAAAGAACCATGATTGGTAGACAGGGCAACTAAGTCCCAAAAAGAAACAGTGAGTTCTCTAAAATCCCACGGTTGACTCTTGGCAAAAACATGCTCCTAGCCAAATGCTCTTTCTACTCTATCATATCATATTGTTTCCCACTAGGACTGTTTGGCAAGGATGGAACAGCTTGGTTGCTGTTGGGAAGGAGTGATGTGATGGCAAAAGAAGATTGCCATGGCCTTGGGGTGGGTGGAGCAAAGGGAAAGGGGATATAGTATGCAGATAATCATTTTAATGGACAAACTATCTGCACCTTGAGTTTCCACACTAAAGGAAATGAAGGTTGCTGGAACAGGCCAGGATTCCACCTTTTATCTAGATATCATACAGACCAGCTCCTGAAGAATTCATTCTATCTTCAACAGGGATTTGGAATTCTGAATCCCAGAATCTGAATTCAGACAATACAGGGATTTAATTCTACCTTAGAAGCAGAAGATTCCATAACTGCTCACTGATGGTGAGTTAGTGATGTTAATGGTTAGTGAGTTAATGGTTCCTACCTGGAACCATTCCTCAAACATGCAGCAAATATCAAAAAACATCAATTCTCTTTTCTTATGGACAGGGGTCTAGATTTAAAAAAGAATGGTTAGAGACCTAGACAAAACTAGAACACCTGAGTTTGAGCACTGATATTCTGTTTTCCTAGGACTGTTAGGACTGGAAACGGTCTTCAGCTGGGTCGAAGCACCTATGGAAGGTTTGAGTTAAAAAGGAATCAATTCTTTCTGCCTTATCTGAAAGGATGTTTCTAAGGCTGCTGCAAAATCACCACAACTTGTTGGGGAGGCCCTGGCAATCTCTTCTTTGTAAATACACTGTGTGGAGTTCTATATTTGGACAGGACCTAATTCTGCTTAGCTAAACACAGGTTGATGGAATCAGTACCCTGTGGGGAGTAACAGAAGCCAGGATTCAATTCAAGGAAGTACTGATGTTAGTTTATACAAAACTGCATCTACTTCTTTTGGAAAATGTTAAGTGAAGCTTCTCACTAGAGTAGGCCTCTTCTCCTCTCCTTCATCCCCCTTTTATGGAAATACCAGTTCATTTGGTTCTCTTGTACAGGATATAATTCTAAAGGAAACTTTCTCTGATAGATTTCAGAACCATCACTACTTGTCTCAACTCGAGACCAGTATTTGAGGTTCAGATTGAACAAGTTCAGATGGATCCTTTGAGTGGACAAAATGAATATACACACATAAATATTGCCTACTTTTCTACTTTATATCAATGTTGAAGACTCCAGGTCTATACAATTTTTATGTCATGTATCTTTCCACGTCAACAGGCACCTGTTATGGTTATCGCTCCTTGAGGGAAGGGGGCATTCAGTGACATTTTGCGCAACCATTCCAATGCAATCATAGTGACATGTTAAAATTCCTACACTCCATCAGTTACAGAGTGAACACATCAAGAGAAGACATTTGAGTCCCTTTCATTTAAAAGTTCCATTCACTGACTCTTAAAAGTTCCTGGTGGGCAAAAAAATGGGGTAAGGAACTGACTATGTTTAAGAAAAATACATGAGAAATGCAGAGACCTTTCCAAGTACATGTAAGAATCTTCAACCCATTTGAAGCAACGGAGGCCTCAGTGGGAAGAACTCTACCTTTGTTTTTACACTGTAGGCTCCTTAGTCTTCTCCTACTTCTGCTTGTTCCTCTCAAGTTTTTCCAGGTACTTACACGGAAACTCTCTTATTTATACACATTACGTGCTTACCTTGCCATTTTAGGGCATTAGCTGATAGAACTTGCAAGGCATGAAAGTTGGGTGAAGCAAGACCTCTAAGACCCTACCATGTGGCTGTGCCATGGCCAGGCTATAGGCTGAGCCTTTTGAGGGCTCCTTACCTGGGACACTGTGATGCCACACTTCTTGGCTAACTCCTCTTTGGCTTCCTCACTGGGGTAAGGGTTGCTGAGATGGGAATAGAAATATTCATTCAGGATTTCCGTCGCTTGCTTGTTGAAATTCCGTCTCTTCCGCCTTCATAAAGAGAAAGGAAACAATGACAACAAACAAAGTTTACACCAAATGCATATAAAAAGGGAGAGAAGAGGATCTACTTCTGGGGGAAGACAAATTTTTGAGTGAAAAGTAAATTAGAGGAGATTTGCACAGAGGCACTGGCTGCTGAAACCATCACTAAAAATACTTGTTAAATGCTTCACTGTGCACCATCGGGATATTGACTAGAATGGTCATAGACATTTATAGAGAGTGGTGAGGAGAATGAAGATTCAAAATTCAACCATCTTGGTTTGAAGCCTGGACCCAATGAATACCAGCTAGGTGCTTTGGGATGCCTCTCTAAACCTCAGCATCCTCAAATAAAAGTCAAGAGAGTCATAGTGACCTCACAGGGGGAGAGTAAGGGAGAAATGAAGCCATTGGGACAGTGCCTGGTGCATGGCAAATGCTAGGACATAGTGGTGACAGTGTTTCTTCCTATCAGGTTCCAGGCATTGGACCTTACCCCTCATAGCAATCAATTCAAGTCATTCATTTTTCACAACTAGTGAGGTCCAGATGGTTATTCCCATTTACCAATGAAGAACTGAGTTCAAAGATCTCAGCTGGTATGTTTATAGCGCCAAGATACTAATTCAGGTCTGTCTAACTACAAAACCCAGCCTCTTTCTCCTATACAAATTGCCTCCTAGCAACTACACAGAGACTCTGTTGCCACAAGTTAAAAATAAGTTATCATTTTCTCTTTCTTCTATCCCCGTGTAATTGCACGTAACATTTTAAAAGGACATTTGGGGAAGAGGGCATGGAATACACTGAAATGAACCCCCTGACCTCTTGACCCCCCTCAAAAGGAGAGAAGCGTCACTTTTTAAGCAAGGACAACTGCTAAATGGTAAAACAAAAGCCCACAGAAATCTTTTTATTATATAGGCTGCTGAAAGGAAGAAAACCATTTTTTGAATAAAAACATTTTTCTGCCTTTTAAAAAAAAAGTGCTAATTGAACTAATTTAAAGTGAGAATTACTTTGCTGCCTCCTCATAGCTATGGCCTGTGGATAGCTGGGCAGTTGCTTAGAGAGGCCTGGCTCACTGCACATGCTGGTTGGCCCTCCTTGAGGTGGTGGGGCCTCCATCTTTAAATTAGCTTTATCAGTACTTTGTCTTTCTTGCTTTTATCATAGGCCTTTCCTTATGGAAAAGATTTCCAGAACATCCCTGGCTATGCCAGGACATCGAATTTCCCAGTTTAGCCAAGAGAAAGCACTGATCGCCTTGCTAGACAGGAAATTCAGCTAATATTGTATTTTCAGGGTCCCACTTGGATTAATTAACACAATAAAGTACCTGATTTTACCGGATGAACACCATCTGTCCACAGGTATTAACCACATCTGTCCAGATTATGCCAAGCCCAAGTCACTCTCCCAAATCATGCTGAGTTTCTGGGTCACCCAGCATCAGAAATTGGGCAGATTGGATTAAAAAGCTCAACTAAAAAAATAGGCATCTGTTAAAAGCTCTTGCATGATGGGAATTTGAGGAAGATAGCCAAGTGGCTAACACTGTCTCCAGGCTAGTCTTTAGATAACCTCTGGCTGCTTCTTTGCCTAAAGAAGACAATTGTTTTAGGCCTGTGGAACTGGACCCCGAAGGCTCCCCTAATTGGGAAAGCCTCGGCTCATTCATTCAGTTGTTTGCATTAGCACTACAGTGTATTTTTTGGGACTCTTCCAATTGAGCTCAAAGGAGGCCTCTCTGGAATGAGCCGGTGGTATGGGGATGGTGCAGACAGCTGTTCCCGGCTCGCTTCTCGTTGCGATGTGCAATCTTTCCTAGGTGGTCTCATCTACTCTGATGGACTCGCTTATCACCTCTTTTAGTGGCTGCCTCAATCTAGGGCCTTTGAAATACCAGGATCAGGAATTTTCACAATTTCAGGAAACCTAATGAAAAGAACATACTTCTGATGCTAAAGTTATTTGCGCTAACTAAGACCCCTGGTTTCTTCCCTTTGGCTTGAAGCATTACCAGCTCAGCGAGTTAACATTTGTGATTTTAAAGCCAATCAAAAGCTTTGATAGTCAGGCATCTGGGTTTTTAATTTAAGAAATGGGGAAGTTGATTCAATATTACTAGATAAATGTGTCATTTCAGGGACACAACCTTTGGAATCAGAATGATTCAAGAGTAAGAAGTGTAGTTACGCAGGACACATGTGGCTAACTGCCAAATGCATTGTCTCCTGCCTAACGCTTCCCCTAAAAGCCACTGTCCCATTTACCACTGCATACTGCAGGCACCTCAAATTCCGTTTCCAAAACTGGTATCAAATTTCACCCAAACCAGTTCCATTTTCTTTGTTACCCACATTATACAATGACGTCACTATAGATACAGTTTATTGTATTTGCTAATTTGTTTGTTCATTCGTTTGTTCATTCATTCCAATATTTTAGTACCTAGCATGCGCTAGAACCTGGGAGTGATTCTCAATTCCTTTTGCTCTCTTACCTTCCTCAGATGATTGGTCCCAAAGCAAGTCCTGTCAGTTTCATTCTCTCACATCCATCCCTTTTGTTCCATCCTTATTGTCACTGCTATTTTTGAAATGGGTTTAGATGATCCACTGTCTATTATATGCAGGTCTGCCTAATGCCGTCCAATAGCACTTTCTGCACTGAGGGAAACACTCCAGCTCTGCCCTCCAACATAGTAGCCATTAGCCGCGTGTGGTACTGAGTAGCGGAAATGTGGCTAGCGTAACTAGAGAGCTAAATTTTTTATTTCATTTACTTTTCTTTTATTTTAATTAATTTGAATTTAAAATCAAATAGCCACACGCTAGACAGTGCAAATCTAGAAATGCTTTCCAGAAATACTGCCCAAGCCGCCCTCTGGCAAGAAGAGCACGAACTCACAGCCTGGGGTCCACCATCAAGAGCACGGAACGTCTTCAAAACCTCCTGCTTTAGTCTATTCCATAATATACCAATGTTTGTTTTAAAATAGGAATATTTTCCCTCAAATATTTGAGTAAAATGGGGAAGGTATTTCATCCTTATTCTGTATTCCCCCAATTTGGGAAGCACAAGCCTCAAGAGTGGTCCCCTAGCTAGTCTCTCTGCAATTCATCTTCAAGAGAATCCCCAAAGTAATTCCTCCAAACCATGCATCTGATCATGTCACCAATAACAACAGTAAAATTAAATAATGATATATAATAATTATATATAATATAGTGATCCTTATTATAGCTGAATTATTGTGTGAATATCATGTTCCAAGCACTGTATTAAGTTTTTTCTTCATATTATCTTATTTATTCCTGGAGATAGGATTATCCTCATTTTATAGACAGGAAAACAGAGTCTTAGGATAAGCCACTTACCCAGGGCCACAAAGGTAGTCAGGATTGTAGCCAGAATTTGAATCCAAGCAGTGCAATTTGCAGACGTATGCTGTAAATTACTACATTTCCTCCTTAAACAGCTCTGAGGGTTTCTGCCGCTTAATAGGACAAATTCAAAATCTTCATGGGTACAATTAAGGTTTTTTAGTGATCTCTCCTATCCCTAGTGCCTCATTTCCTCCCTTTCCTACACATGCTCTGCATAATTCCATTTCGCCACATCATATGCTTCTCCATTCCCCGAAGACACTCGCGGCTGTCATGCTCCTGTGCGTCTTCATGCCACCCTGTGTATCTCTTTCCCACAGCATTTGCCACAAGTTTACATGTGTCTCCCCAACTAAAGAGCAAATTCCTCAAAGGATAGGAGTCATGTTTCACTCATATTTGAAACCCTACTGCCTAAGCATTCAAGTAAGTAATGCTTGTTGAAGTCAAATTATGTTGTTTTACTTTGTTCATGTTACTCCTTCTATGTGTCAAACATCCTGCTCCTCTGAGATTCAGTCCTGTCTGCCCTCTCTCTCATTCTCTCTCCCCTTCAGGTGGAGTTGGCAGATGCGCTTCATGTGTTCATGTGCAATTTTATGTTTAGTAAGAGTGTCTGTTTGCCCCATGAGATTATAAGCTCCTTGAAGGTGGCACCCACTTTTATATGTATATTTTTTTCATAATTTCTTATTCCATGGCTAACATAGCATTTGGCAGAGAGTAAGAACTCAATTAGATAAATAAATAAATCTAAATACATTGCCAGTTTGACCAGACCTTACTGGACGTCCTTTCCTCCTTTTTGCTATCCTTCTCTCTGCTAATTCATTTTATGTCATCCCCTCTATCAGGATGAAGTGCAGAGGTGGACTTCTAACCATCTGTTTACGTTCTTATTGTTATCTCCAGCAAAATGTTGCCCCCCCCAAAATTTTAATTATTGCTTGAAAATCATTAAAAGGATTTATAAATTCTGTTTCTTTCAAATAAGAAGAATGTATTTATAGCCCTGACAATAATGTTACCAAGTTTTCCAATACAATGCTTGGTACATAGCAAGGGATGATAAATGTTGAATGAACGAATGAATGAATGGAATTTTTAAGTTAAACTTTTCTGGCACAGTTAAGTCAATGTAAGGAAGAGAAAAAGGCTATGACTTGAGTGGGACAAAACCTGGGCAAGTGCTCAGTTCGGGAGAGTGGAAGGCAAAATCCTAAGAAGGCCTGGGAGATTCCACCCCTGGTGTACGTGCCCTCCCCTTGAGTGTGGGTGGGACTGTGAAAAAGAGGTTAGGAAATCAGAAAACTGATTAGGTTACAAATGAGTAGACACTGAGTTAATGAAAAGGGAGATTAGGTTAAAGCCTTAAAATGGCAAGATTCTTCTGCTGGCCTCCAGGAAGAAAGCAAACAGCCAAGCTGTGAGCTGCCTGTAAAGAGAGCGGCTTCTCGGAGCTGGGACCTCAGTCCTACAACACAAGGAACTGACTTCTGCCCACAACTGGAATGAGCTTGAAAGAGGACCCTGAGCATCACCCCTGGATTACAGCTTTGTGAGAGGAGAGGAGAGGATCTAGCTGAGGCAGATCCAGACTCCTGAACAACAGAAATTGTGAGAAAATAACTTCGTGTTGTTTTAAGATGCTAAATTTGCGGTAATCTGCAACAGAAAACTAATATAAGGAATGTTACACAACAAAGCAGTAGTTTTCAATTCGACATACCTATTACATTACAAAGACTAATCCTGTTCCTAAATCAAGTCCCCCTTGTATTTTACTTGTCTTCCATGAAATCTTTTCTTGATTGAGCCCTGCCCATCAGATGCATGGTTTAGAGCAGCATGTGTAGCAACGAGGATGTCTTTCTTACTAAGGTTTGTTTAGCTAGCTCTCGGCACTATAGCACTGGAAGCAATGATATTAACTACCCTAATCAGGAGATCCAGGCAAACATTTATTTGTGAGCTAGAAAAACCATTTGTTCAGCTTTGGGCAGGCATTTGGGGTTATATTCTTTCACTGATACTAAATAGACCCTCAAAATAAATGCTAATAACAATGACAATGGGTTAGTTGTTTTCGTTTTGAACCTTGGCTCAGAGGCAATGATTCAAAGGTTGCAACCAAAGCAAGAAAGAAACCCGCTCTTAAAGTGACTGTCCTTCTGGTGCCAACTGGAACGATCCAGGCAAAGGCTGGTGCAAGTGAAAGGAACTGTGTACAAAGCTCGCCTAGTTTTGCGTCTTTTAGAGTCTGACCTTCAACTGGGCACAGTAGAATTATTGCGAGAAGAAATCCGACGAGACAATGATTCTGCTCCTCCTTTCTTCCCAATTTCTTTCTTGAAAAGAACCCAGTCTGGGCCCAACTTTTCTTGTTTTTCAATATCTGCCAACATAAATACCAACTCCAGCATTTTAAGTAGGGAGTTACCATGGGGATGTAAGCAGCACATGCAGAGTGGCGGCGGCTGCAGCACTGGGGAAAGACCCAGACAGGGGCCACCAGTCATTTGCACTTAGCACCACACGGAGCAGCCTGCTTTAAAGAAACCAGGATGGCAGCAGGCCATGGGGCAAGGGAGCTGCTCAGAGGGTCTTGCTGCAGGGTGACCTCGCCTTCCCTGCTCAGCGCCACGCTCAACTGGGAAAAGCTATCTTCATCTTCACTTTCTCTTGATTTACTCTATGGAAATCTATTTTCCCAGAGATACATTTTCCTAGCTGGCATTCTCATTTCATATCCCGTGTGACCCAAAACACACTGAATAAAAGGGAGTTTAGGAGATGCCAGCAAGTTTCAAAGAGGTCTGTGGACTGTAAAGACCACAATTGTGAAGAGAGAGAAGAATACAGGTAAGAGAGATGAATAATACATGATTTCAGGGGTGAAAAAAATTCAAAAAGATGACACCTGCATTTATAGAAGATGGCTAATTTAAGATGAACTGTAGGACACAAAGGATACCCACCCTCTGAAAATGTATGTGCTAGATCAATTACTAAAATACTCTTCTAGAGCAGATAAGATATGATTATCATGATCTTCCAGGCTAAATAACAGAGCTAAAGAAATCAAAGGGATTTGAATAAATCCATCTGTCTAGAGAGCAGGAGGACCAAGAACTGATTACCTGTTCTCTGTTCTCAGTTTCTGTCTTAAGGAACACTTCTATCCATGGTTTCATCAACTGAATTCTTTGAACTCACAAGTAAGGTCATGAGCAGCAATGCCAGAGAGAAAACATCAAACCTTGATTGCAAATTTGGCCCATCTCAGACCAGCCCCTTGCCCCTCTATGCCCAAGGGACCATATCTTACTCATCTTTATACTCCTGAAACTTACCCCAGAGGCTGGCACATGGTCATCTACTTATAAATATTTGCTGAATTGAACTGAGTGCGCTCTCTGCCTATATATAGTGTGGGAAAGATCCCAGCTCTCAATCTGAACTGTCTTTCTTGGAGAAAGTGTGTCACTGCACTGTGCGAAGAAGCCCACTATAGGCCCATAGTTACAAGATGTACCTGTGAAAGAGGTACCTGGTGGTATAAAAACACAAAGTCCTGCCTTTTCTGTCACTGTAGCTAAGTCATCCTTGCTGCTCACTCAGAGTGAGTAGTAGTGGAAACAAAAATCACTCCCTCCAATCACACGTTTTCTTGGAGCTGTATAAAACCAATGGCGTATCCAGTCTCGCAGCCACAGAATCCAACTCTGGATGAGTGACTCTCCCAGAGGACAGCACAACCCCGTTGTGACTCACCGCGCATCCAGAAACCGGGAGCGCAGGATCATGACGGCCTCACATGTGCTCTGCTTGAGCTGCATCTGGATGGAGCTGAACTTGCGGTGGATGATACTGACCATCCGCTCGATCTCCTTTGGGGAGATGGGCCTGGTCCGGCTTTGCTCTCGCAGGAGATTCATCACGTGGGTGGTGAACTCATTGCAAGCCTGGAATGGCAGGACAAGAAACATCGGGCATGTTGAGGGTCCAAGCCTCAGCACATGCCAGGTCCTTTTCATAAGGTCATGCGGGCTTTTCTAGAGACTTATGTAAGTAAGAAAACTGGGCCAGTTTGTGGTATTTTGTCAAATCAGTGGGATAAGATAAATGACTGCCTGGAAATCCCGTTCAGCTCATTTGACTCTAACTTTTAGCCGTGATGTAGATTTTTTTATGGGAAAAGAAAATTCTTACCCATATCTTTTCTTAATCATTTTTTTTCATGATTTTTACTACTGTGAAAGATGAGAACATGAATCCTAGTATAAAACACCTTACAACCCTTCACCCCAATGTTAACAACCAAAGAGAGTTTGGGGTCAAACGGAGCATGAACTTCTGCCTTGCCCATTATCTCTGATATACTTAGAGCTCCCAAATATTCAATTTTGGGATGCACAAACAGCCAAAAGAGTGGGATCATGGCATTAAAAGCTTTGGTAACTCTTCTGGGAGATTTCTCAGTAATCTATTTCTACTTCTAGTTTTGTTATAAGAAGTCTCTCCAACGCTAGCCTTCTGAAGTTCCACATGGCCGTAAGGCAAAGGGAATCTGCCCTCAGAGGCCTTACAGAAACAGCATCAAAACATGCTTTAGAGGATCCAGGAGCTCTCCTTGCAGAAAGGAAAACTCTCAGGCTCCAGACCAACATACCATCAGCTCTGGAAGTGAAGTTGGAGGTCATCCCTTCCGTCTCCTTATTTTACATTTGGGAGAACTGTGACTGAGAGAGATGAAGGGACTTTTCCAAAGGCACACAGTAAAAAGGAAGCAGCTGAGGCAGGACCTGAACAGTTCATATTCCAAGCCAGGGACTTCTGTTCTTTCCCAGAGCCTGAACTTACTCTTCTGAACACTACTGCCGTTTCTTTTAGTTACTATATTACTTATCATCTGTAGTCTGACTTCCTTAGCTGAGCATTCAATAAAATAACGATTCATAGTTTACTCACAGCATTGTTGTAAAACTGTATTAGACTTTTAACAAAAAAGGCAAGAGGATGCTTTGAGAGTTGAAGAACCAAGGCCTCAAAGGTCTCCAACTTAATATTAACAATAGAAACACACTCATTAATGATAACATTGCATCGCCATTGTTTTTATAGCACAAAGCCCTTCATATTTGTCAATAATGCAGTAACAATAACACATTTACTGTTTATTTCTCTAAGAAATCCTTCGAGGTTGGTTGGCAAAAGATATATAGGCAGACACATCCACTGGGCTGTGTCTTCACTGTGGACTGGGAGGCCTGGTTTTCGACTCTACCTCCGTGAATATTTGGGCAAATCCTTTTACTACTCGGTGCCTCATTTTACTCATCTGAGAGTGGATTTAATCATTCCCAACCCTTTAGCAAGGCCAGCAGTACCCAAGCTCTTGCGCAGTGGTCTGTGGATGGAGTACATCACTCTCATGTGCACAGCAGCGTGGGTTAAGTAAGAGCATAGGTCCCGGCTCTGGGACTCACTTAGCTGTGGGACCTTGGAAAGTTACATAACATCTCCATGCCTCGTCTTCTTTATTTGTGAAATGGGAATGACAATATCTACCTCAAAGAGTGTGGCAAGGATTAAATGAGTTACTATATGTGTGTCTGCCCATTATTATCTCTTCAAAATATGGATAACTCAGAAACCCAACATATTCTCACGATTGGATAAACTTCTCCAGGCTTCAGTCTGCCTCTTGGTAAAATAAAGGGGGTTATAAATACCTTCTTTCTACTCTGCAGGCATACGCTGAAGATAACTCCATAGAAGAATAGGCCCATATAGCATTTTGCTCTCCACTAAGAAAATTACCACATTAACACAAGATCTACAGACCTTCTTCCCTCCGCAACCCCAAACACTGCCCCCCCCGCCCCAGACTGTACAAAAAAGGAAGGGTAATAAACCTGGCAGCGAGTTGGCTGAAATTCAAGGCCATGGGGTGGGGAGTAGAGAGTTAGGCACGTAGAAAGCATCCTGACCAGCTTTCTGGGGAAGAGCTACACCCCACTGGGCTGCAGGCTCCCCACCTCATGGGGGCTCACAGGGAGGAGGGGCTGGATGTGAGGAGGTATTGTCAAGTGCACTTGCTGTCTGCCAGGAAGCCACAGCGCTTAGCTAATAATAACGTATTTCATTACAGTGAATAAAAATACTCACAATATCTGATGTTTATTCACAGCATTTTATCCCAGGCCCTTTCTGCTCTGCCATAAACAGACAGTGGAGTCTTTTCACCCACTGCTGAGGTGGAACAGGGAAGCTGCTCAACAGCTGCTCAGGAACACACAACAGAGAGCAGAGTTCCAAGTCCATTCTAACCAGACAGAACAGAAGGATCCAGATTTTTCCAGGACCTGAACTATGCACGCCTCCTCCTTGGTTCCCCCAAGCTCGGCACCTTCAGAAGCTGAGCTGCCCCAGTTTAGGTCAGGCGCTCATGAGGTGAGAGTAATAGGAATAGCTGGGGTTACAACATTAATTAAATAGAACTTCACAGGCTGAAGCTTTCTGTGACAGAGGAAAGTCTACTGGAGACTGTCATAAAGACAGTCACTTTCTAGAACTAACACTTCAGCTGCCCCCAGAGAGCAGAGGATTCTGAAAGGAGATGTCCCAGGTTCCAGGGCAAGGGCATTCTGGGAGCAGTAGACTAAAGAGAAGCCTCTTGGAAAATCCTGCTCTGTGTCCTAGAGTTTAAACTTACATCCTGCACTCCATTTGGCCCGTCTTCTTCTTTTACTTCTTCAAACTGGATTTGGCTGCCAATCTCAGCGACAAGGGTAACTGGGGTTTTAGGATCCTCTTAGTTGGGGACAGAACTAACTGAGCCCAGTTCAGCCTGAGATTCTGCCCAATCATTCCCTGACAGCATATTTACAAAAGCTGACAAACCCTGCAAAGCTAGAAGAGCATCACTTCCTTTCTTTCTTTTTTTTAAGAAGCACTTGGAATAAAATTCAGGTTTCTGACATCATGGTTTTATCTATTAGAATATGCCAGCTCCTAAATGCCTTAGCTACCAACATGATCTGCTGAAAAAGTGTTTTACCAACTCTATTTAATGACTAAAACAATTTCCTTCCTTTCTTTCTAATGAAAGTCTCTAGAAGCCTACTTTATTTAATAACTTCAGGGTGAAACAATGGCTGATTCAGGTACTTCTTTTTTTGAGGAGTAGGGGTGAGGAGGGCTCTGATAGCTAATTACTGACAAGAAACTGATCGTGTGGTATCTACCACCACCATACAAAAACAACAGAATCAACTATTAAATAGGCAATTTGGTAATTTCATATAGGTACTACTAAAATAGAGAGTGACATTTTTACTTTACTGAGGTTTCCTATTTTTAAAAAAGCTCCCACGAGGAATGGTTAGAGAAAAATGAAGATGATATATCTCTCAGACATACTATCTAGAAGGTTAATGGTATCATTTCCCTACAATCTGCTATTTACTGTAATTAACAATACAACTAATATTAATAAATTATTAAGCACCCAGAGTATGTTGAGCAATATTCAGTTCTTATCCAGGATAATGCCCATATAGATAAATAATAGTTTTAGTACTTTTTAAGACTAATAAATACAGATGACTACTATAATATCTCTACATTTACATAATGACTGATGGAATTTTTCCTTAAGTTCCCAATTTCCAACATCTTTATTATTTAGAGTAAGCAGATATCCCTGAGAAGTTTCTGAAGGAGAATATTTTTATCACTAGCCTCCCTTAGGTACCCGCAACTTAGTCCATGGAAGTAACAGTGAGGACAAGCTGGTTACTTCAGTGTCTACACAAGCGCAGGCTCGCTCTTTATGAAGAGGAGTCAGGCGTTGTTCCAGAAATAGCCCTGGGCTAAAGGTCAAAAACTGGATTCCAGGGCAAATTCTGGATGTGTGACCCAGATGCATCACCTAAGCTCTTTGACCTCCATTTCCTCCATTCCTGTATCAAAATGGAGCCTATGCAGTACCCGGCCTGGGTACCCAACCACAAAATTACCTTGTGGAGCAAGTGTAGTTACATCAGCAACACGTTTCACTCATTTGGGATGAGGACAGAAGAGTGACAAGGGGGTTTAAATCAAGGAAACATTCAGTTCTTCTATGTTGCTGGCAACCTCAGCTAAGAATGAAGCGTTTTCAACACCTTCAGCCTACCATCCATTCCAGTCATGGGTTTAGTGGGGAAAGCTACACTCTAGTCTCTTATTCTGCCCCAGGAGTTTGGCATGAGTTAACCTGGATGACAGGCCTGCATAGGTTGTTATACCAGAGACCAGGCTTAGTGGTGAAGGTGAAGTAGGAAGAGCACTGAGAAGGAAGAACCCAAGAGGCCAGCTGGGGACCCTTACAGGAAATGTCCCCATCGGTCTTCCCAAGTTATCCCGCAGCTTAGGGCAGACTCTGAATTCTAACATGATGATCCAGCTGGGGGAAACCGTCATGGATCAGCCAGCTATCTGAGCTCAGCCTCCCCTGGGCTCTGGGGAAATGTCTACATGAGCCAACACTGTGGCAAGAACATTGGTTCTTTCCCAAGAAGGTGAAGGGCGATGACTCACAGGTTCTTACCACAAGATTGCTTTCATTTTCCTCCCCTTGAACTCTTCCTACACCTTATCTGATGGTTGAATTTCACCATACTTGGCTTCGAGCTTCACAGCAATTTTTTTCCCGCTCTCAAAGAAAGGAACTTTGTAGAAATCCATTTCAAAGGTAGATAGGAGTGCAATAATGAAACTTTCTTCACTTTAAATTTTAAAATGCCTATTTCTATTTTAAAATTTAAATTTTCTATTAAGTTTGCATTTGCCTTCTACCTAGACAGTCATAAGAGGACTGTAGAGGGTCCTTTACTTTTTGCTTTTTCTCCTTCTTCTTTTGTGACTCTTAAGAAGAGAAAAGAAAGCCAGAAACCTAACAATTTGGTGAAAGTAAGTTAGCTGGAGAACTTCAGGACAAGGTTGCATCCAAAGAGGTGACAGCAAACATATGTGTCAGCTAAATGACGGGAGGAGAGGCTCATGTTAAGAGACTCCTAATAAAGTAGCACTGCTCATATTGAGTAGAAGAAACAGTATTGATATTTAAACTAATGTATATATGTGGAGGGGGGATCTCGAGTAGAGAGGAGCTGTGTTACAATTAGAACACCTTACACACATATGCTGCTTCGTAATGTACAGCCTTTCTTATTCTTTCCTTCATATGATTTTTATGGCCCTGTGATATCTTTGACTTCAAATCCACAGCTCTCTGTCATATACCACGAGCTTTTGGGGTAGAGTGTGTGGAACACTGGGTCCCACAGATCATCAGTGGAGTGTCAGGATTGGAATCCTGACTCCAGGGGTCCCCTGAGATCCTCTATTCTTTTTAGAAACAAAGGTGTATATCCTATTGCATATCATACATACAAAGGAGAACAGGTTTGACTCTCAATTTAACTGGGTCTGGGTAGAGCGAGAGACTTTAAGGCCAAGTTTTAGTATCCTTTTTCTTAGGATTCCATGAGCGCCCGGAAGATGAAGAATCCTCCTAAACAAGCAGCTAACAAGGGCCAGAGGAAGGCAGCCACCTCCCCGCAGGTCAGGTGGTGACTCTGCTCAGGACCTATATCACCCTGACAAGACCCCAGGCTGCAAGCGACGGGCAAATATTCCAGAGTTCCAGGTACGGACTGGACCTTATATTGACTATTACTGTTTCCTGAAATCATCTTTCACAACTAAATTTTTTTTAATGCCTTTATCTCCAGGTTGCCTGGGTTTTTCATAGTGGACACCAAAGACTTAGTGGAGTCAAGTTCAGCAAGTAGCTCTGTGATTAGACAGGAAATGCTGGACCCAAGAAAGTCAATGTCCAGGAAAGGCTGTCCCTCATTCTCTGAGAGGCCCGGAGTCTTATGTCCCCTCCATCCTTTCCTAAAGGGCCTGGGGTGCCGGAGACCCCTCAAGGCTGTGTTTACCTGCTCGTATTTCTCCAGTTCCGTGTGGTAGATTTGTCTGATCTGTGAGAGTTTGGCTCTGTAATCGGAATGCTCCACTGAGTTGTCTGAACCTGCCCCTCCAGAAGCTGCCGCTGCTGCCGCTGCCGCAGCCGAGCCACCGCCCTTCTCTGGCCCCGCCACCCCCTCTGCTAACAGCATGTTGTCCAGTCGCATCAGCTGGGGGTCTGTTGGCTCCTCTTCCTGGGCTCCCCGGATACTCAAAACTGCAGGAAGACACAAAGAGAGGGGCAGTGTTAACAGTAACCCAAGGGAGAAAATTAAAAAAAAAAAAAGAGTGTCATTTAGCTAAATAAGTCTTCAAATTACTTGCAATATGGTATCTGAGAAATGGGCAAAGAGCTGGAAAAAGACAGGCACTGAGAGGGGGATAAAATGCAAGGAGTGATTCACTTTGTTCCAAAAATTAATTATACTTCACTTATATGAGGTACCCAAACAGTCCAATTCATGGAGGCAGAAAGTAGACTACTGGGTACCAGGGGTGGTGGGAGCGGGGCACAGAGGAGTTAGTGGTTTAATGGATACAGAGTTTCATTTGGGGAAGATGAAAGAGTTCATGAGATGGCTTGTAGTGATGGTTGCACGACAATGTGGATGTACTTAATGCCACTGAACTGTACATTTAAAAATAGCTAAAACGTAAATTTTATGTTATGTCTCTTTTACCACAATAAGAGAACTTTCAAAACTACAAAAGAATTAATTATAACAGAATGTAATTTTCACTTTCATCCGCAAACTGCCAAATTTTAATTCAAGGAAAAGCATTTCCTTCTTCATTTCTAATTTTAGATTTCTGTGAATTTGTAGTTTCATACACATTGACTTTGTAATATTTGATTGGCCTAAATTTTCATCTCCAAGACAACCTAAGCTAGGCAAATTCAGTTACTTGGAGTGAAATCTCAAGACCTTTCCCCTGGAAGAGCAGAGAGAGTAGAAAAGTCCAAAATAGCAAGAAGACAAATTGGCCCTGCAGTAGAGATGTTTCTCTCTCCAAATTGAGGTCTACTCATTCCAGGTAAGAAGGAATCTGTCCTGTTAGAAACTAGGGTGAGACCCTTTTAACAAGCTATCTCAGGGATTCAGAGAAGCCCGTGTTCTGGTAGGATGGAGGAGGCTCAGATGAACGAGATGGCCACTTTTTATTAAAACCATGGACCATTTTGGGGGTGGGGTGATTTGGACTGAAAGAGATGGAGCAATTGAGTAAATCAGCATAAGAGGGAGGCACTCTCTTTTTACTACCATCACACAACCTGCCATAAAATAAATCACTCATCTAAACCCAGTTTAGGTGTCAGCAGCCAAGTCTTTGCGGAGAGGGAACATGAAAGGAATTTTCAATTAAAAAAAAACACTTTTGGGTAGAGTAGGAAAGGAGGGAAGTGATTAAAGGCAGAGGAGAAGCAGTCCTGTGTTCGTTCCCATTTTGGGGATGGGGATGGCAGGGTGTCTGTCGCCCGGTGGATACATGAGCACCAGAGCAGTGAGAGAGGCAAGAGCTGTTTCAGGGCAGGGCGCATGTGGTGAGCCTCAAGGGGATGGTGCCATTTCCAGTAGACTCCTGAGCCCTCGCAAGGCACCCCATGGAGTTGTGACAGGGAAGGTGGATATGAGCTCAATATGAGGGGACATGTAGATGTTCAGGGCATTCCATCACGCATAATACCAGCATAACTGCTGGCTGTGCCCACATGCTCCTGGCTTCTAACAGGCGTGACAAGAACCAACCTTGAAAGTTGTTCAGAAGGAATCTCAACTCCTGTGCTGAAGGGAAAACTGTGGCACTGCTTTCATGAAACACAAGACAGTCAAGTGGGATGTCACGCCACATGGACCAGTGAGGGCAGTTAGGAGCAGAGGATTAAAGGCACGGGGTAGAAACAGGTGGTCGGTGATGAAGTAAGAGAGGATGGGAGGAGGACGTGGGGAAGGCAGCTGGCTGGGGAAGAAAGAAGGAAGTCCACCCGGACACACAAAGAGCAAACACTCGGGACTCAGGCTCTTTTCCTTTCACATCTGAATTTTTAATATTCTGCTGCACTAAAATAAAATTGCTATATTGGTGATGGCACAGGTTGAGGTTTATTTTGTGGACTTTTGTCCAGTGGAATTCTCCTTTTGGAGGCTCACGAGACTAAAGGGGAAATTGCTTCTTTGACTGATCTTTGAATAATAAAGATTTAGTCACATTATTCAGTTGCTTGAATTTATTTACTCAAATCTCCAAAGTCCGCTGAAGAATATATCACCACGAACAAAGGTTTTCTGAAGAAAGCAATTGAACGCTGTACCCACTTCCTGAATACCAGTCCCAAAAGGTGGCAAAAAGAATCTGCCCACCTGGGCACCTGGTGTTAGAGCCCAGAAGCCTTACCTTCCTCACCTCACAGTCCAGTGAATTCTTTGAGGTGAGGGCTTAGTATGTGGGATTTATGAGTGTTTCTCTAGTGAATTTTATTTAGTGAATTTTAATTGCTTTATCAACAAAAATATTTACGGGCCATTTAAAAATGAAAAAAATCCTATGGGAGTCATTCTTAAAAAATGAATGTCATTGTTCCATTTTAGCTTGGTCATTAAAAAACATTGTGCTGGGGCAAAATTTTGCTCTCTAATCCACTCTCCTGAATGTCAGGTCCAACGTACTCCAGAGGAGGCCAAAACTCTTGGAAAGCAGCTACCTGGGCTGATGGAAAACCTCCCCAAGATGCTGAGGGGGTAACACTCCAGCTGGGCGGTGATGCCCCCAGGTGGGTCCTCCTGGTTACTCCATAACCAATGACTCTTGCAAGTGACCCAACACTGAAAGAGCTTATAATAATTTTTGGTCTCAACAAGGTTCGTAAAGCAAAAAGGAATAATGTCATCTTAATGGTCAGGAGGCACTTTACTAGGGCTGGCTTACGCACTGCACTGCCTACCTGAGATGATTTCAAGGACCCTCAGCCAGCACCTGTGCCTAAGACTGCCTGGCTCACTCCACGGGCTTATTCCTCTAGCAAAGTTCCGTTAGTTACGAGAGAAGTAAGACAGGCAGAGACAGGCATCCACAGACCAATGTGCTGCTGGTACTAGTTCCTCCAGGGACTAGGTAGCGACCACGGGCGAGTTACCCTCACTACCTCCCATACTCCCAATGTAAACCTGAGAATGTGTGCCCCTTACAGCCCCTCTCACTTTCACCCATGCCCATGCTCCACTTTTTCTTTTAAACCATCAATGGGAAGTACAAACTATCCACACAAACTCTGCACACTTACCTAATTAATATTCTTCTTGATCTTGGAATCTAACTGGTTTTAAAGAAAATAAGAAAGGAAATGGCTAAGGCTGGCAAAAGACACTGAAAGGAGACACTGCAAGCTCCTCGTCTCCATGGAAGTTTCAGGATGGTCATGAAGTATAAAGCACTAAACTATATTGAGTCTTCTTTTTTTTACCTGCCTGGAGTACGAAGGATATATTTAGTTGGGGGGGAAAAAACACAGTAAAGTGTTAACATTTTGCTTAGCTTTTGTATCATTTTATGAATCCTTTAAAAAAATACTCTTTAAAAAGAAATCTGCATTCACTAAGATTTAATATAATTGATTTCTGAATGTGGCCAATAAGAACTTGATATGATAGAAATACAATGCATCAAAACACAAATGTTGCTTGCATTTATACTCAGAGTTTAGGACACATAAAAAGGCCCCAAACAAGAGATTTGAAGAAAACAAACCAAAAAAAAACCCATAAAAATGTGGGAAAATAAAAACAACAATCTTCTCCAATTTACACCCTTTAAATTATACTCAAAATCATTTTGAAAATAGAAAATTTCAGAGTATGTATCAGAACCCCACCCCAAACAACAACAATATAAACAAGAGAAAACCTTCCTCTTCCATTATTTTACATAGAAGATTCTGGTTCTGATGGTCTTGGGCTGTATCTGTCTGCTTGGAGGAGGCACGGATGGACCAATAAACAACACGGCATGCACATATTTCTACCCCGAAGGAGGAGAAGCCGAATGCACCACTCTAAAAATGGGTGCTGGGATTCACTGACAGAGAAACTGTTCAGCTAGTCAGTTAAAAAAAAAAAAAAAAATCCCACGAACATTAAATAAATAAATGAAAAGGGTGATATGTCTAAGCAGAATTGATGCTGCCTATTTATTGCTTGAAGCCAGCACTCTGGCGAGTAGGAGACAAAATGATTATTTAAAAGCTCCTTTTTATCTCTGTGGCACCATGCAAGACTCAAATGAACCTTTCGCCAGGACACCAGAGATGTTAACACTCATTCTCCAAGATCCAATTTCAACCAGCGGAGCTGTTACCTAATCCAGCAACCATCACATATGATCAGGTTCCTGCTTCCCTGACGGGCGCCCTGCACTCTCCCCCTCCCCTTCCCTCTTTGCTCCCCCATCCACCAGCTTTTACTGAAACAGGTTTTAAAGGGCCAAATCCCCTGTTTATGCCAGTACACGTGGGGTGTTAATAGTCAGCTCTGCACAGTTCCACTACCAAAAATGTAATCAACTGCAGTGGATTCGCTACCCACAGAGGGGTCGCCCAATGAGATATTTAACTCTTGGGTAATAATTCTTAAGGAAGGAGTTTCCTTTGCACAAATCTACTCCCTCATGTAAGCGACCAGACATGGCAAGTAAGTGATTTATACAGAAATTGTCACAAGCTCTTTAAAAAGCATCTGATGTCACATCTACCTTGCTGCCATCGCTGGCCCTCGGGTTAATTCTGTGGTGAAACTCCCAAGATAAGGGGACTGTCACAGCCCTGTCGGAGCTGCTCTCACAACTGACCTCCCGCTGTTCTTTCTTTCTTTATTTTTCTCCACACAAGGAGAAAAACAAACCAAACCCAAAGGCATGTTCAAGATCCTTGGCAGGAGGGCTGCGTGTGGGTTGTTTTGTCCTTGCCCGAGCTGTGACATGGATCTGCAGCAGCTCTGGGCGGTGCCCACTAGAGGGCACTCTTTCTTCACCAAGGACTGGATGGGCTGGGAGTCCCCAGGTTAGTGCTGGGGGGAATGTCCCTTCTTGGATTCAAACTTCCAGAGGTGCGGCAGGCAGCGGGGGAGGAGGGCAGATCTACAGAGAGGGTTGTCTTCAGATTCGCACAGCAGTCCGGGGACCCAAGGCTGGGCTGGGAGATAGTTAAGAAATGATAGCGATAGAGAC